CAGCCAGGGCTGAGAACACTGTGACTTTCCAGTGCGAACTCAGACCCCTTGTTTCTGGGTCACCGAGGAAACGCCACCCCCCTCCCCGGTGGCTGCTTCCCTCAGCCCCACGCCGCTCCAGCTCCGGCTCCCTCCAGAGGCCAGGCCTTGCCGAGCCGCGGAGACCGCTGCCATCTCCTGCAGCCACGGGGCGTGGGGACCGAGACAGCACGGCCAGCAGCACAGAGTGACAGGGCCCGGGGTGGTGGCCGGTGTTCAGAACAGCAGGGCGGGCGTTTTCGTTGGGTCACTGGCTGTTCACTGCGCGCACTCGGGCCAGGCAGGGCGGGGCGGGGCGGCCTCGGACTCCTGGGTCCCTTCCTCTGGGAGGTAAGGACAGTGACGCCGGCTCCCGTGTTTTAGGGACAGCTGTAAAGGTCTCACACGCTGCGCATCCTCAACTGTGACCCTGGGTGACGACAGGGTCGTTGTCCGGGAGTCAGGAGCTGGCCCGTGGGAAGCGCTGACCACCGTGTTGGCTGGGGCGAGCGCCTGGATCATTAGGCAGGTGAGTCCCCCAACCCGGTGCCGCCCACCCGCCACCTCGGTCGCCGTCTCTCTGCGGTGACTGCTGTGTCTGCAGGTTTTCTGCCGGTGGTGGCCGGCTGCCACCGTGAAGGACAATCTCATTTTGCCTGTTACTCTCTTCCCTTCTCTCCTGAGGGGACAGTGACCGGAGCCACTAAAATAGGACCCTCCTGCAGCAGTGGTTTTCTGCACGGACACTCCTGACGCACCAGTCCAGTCCAGCTGAGTGTGAGGGACAGCACACGCAGCGTGCCCGGGGTCACAGCCCGACCCCAGCAGCCGGGAGGCAGGCCCGTGGGAGCCACACACCGAGACACCAGTGAATCGGGGACGAGCGACGGCCCCAGAGGGCCCCCCCGACCCCCACAGCCATCCAGGCCGTGGGCAATGACGGGGTGAGGGGCGTTAGAAAAGGGAACAGACTTCCAGCCAGAACCTGAGTGTCGTTCCACGATCATCAGCAGGAACAAGCGAGTCTGAGGTTTAAAGCAAACAGGCTGTTTTCTCTGTGAACCCACCCGTGGGTCCGTGAGAGGCTGTTAGGGTGCCCACGCGGACGGCATGTGCAGGCCCCCAGGCTGGCCCGGCCCAGCCCCGCCCGAGGGGACGACGCAGACACCGCAGACACAGCTGCGGTCCCCACACATCATGGGAACGTGAGAACTGACCGGCACCCGACCACCCAAGAACAGTATGGCGGTGGGCCCCACGGCCGCCGCCCCCGAGCATGCCAGTGATGCCCCGAGACGGCAGGAGGCGTGGGGCCCCTTCGACTCCACTCCACGGTCAGGCGCCGTCAGAGAACAGGCACCCCCCACCGGCCGGGCAGAGCGCCGGGCGGACGGGGCGCAGGAGGGTGGTAACCCCTGGGCCTGCAGAACCAAGTGCCTCCCAGTCCACAGCACAGCACCCGCCCAGAGGGGCTGGGGGTGTCCTTCCCCGGGAGCTCAGGACCAACGGGGCGCCTCCGGAGATGCCCACAGCCGCCAGCAGAAACCCTTCCCCCCCGGGGCCAGCAGGTACCCGGCGGGCACGGAGCAATGGCGGGGGGGGGTGGCCGTCAGGGACCCCAGAGCAGGCCTGTGGGCCGCCCTTCGGGTGGCCGACCACGCCCACCCACAGGCACCGCCGGCACGGACGGTCCTGCCGGCCGCCGGAGACCCGGGACTGGGTCTCGGCACCGTCCGTCGTGAGGTCCCGTCCCGCCCCCTGCCCTCGGGAACGCGTCAGGGTAAACGTGACGTGGGCTGAAGGCGTGGCAACATAAAAAAAAAACTCAAGACACAAATCGAGTGGGAAGAGCCCAGGTAAAGACAGAGGAGGAAGAACCCAACAACTCAGAAGAAAGTGATTTATTTCAAAACAGAAACAGTTTCATGTGCACGAAGTTTAACAAGATGCGCTCCACAGTGGGCACCCAGGGACACAGCTTGGCAAAGGGCGGGTGTCAGGAACCACAGTCCTGAAAATGGCTGCTTTTCACTCGACGTTTGCCCAGGAGACGCCGCGAGAGACAGGGGTGTCTCGTGCGTGAGTTCGCTGACACGCCTTCCGCTCTGCCTCTGGGCTTGCACCTGAAGTCTTAGAGACCGGACATCTCATCGGGGCGAATTCGAACTCAGCACCGGCTCAGCACCGAGACGACCGGCGGCAGCGAGTGCGTGCCTTCTCCGGCCGGCCGGCCGCGGGCCTGGTGGCGGCGGCGTCCTCTGTGCCGTGCGCCCGGCGAGGGAGCCAACGGTAAGGGGTGCGCCGAACTGCGGGGGGGCACTGAGGTCTAGGGCCCTGCTGCCTTGAGAGAAAATGAGGCAAATAAGCACAAAATACGCGTTAAAATTAGAAAATGACAGCGAGGAAGCAAGGTGGTCTTAACTATTCCAAATAGCTTAATTTGAGTAATAGGGTGCACGTGGTTCTATACCTTTTTTAAAGTAAAATTTCACTTATTCAAGTTCTAATAAATCAGTTTGATACTTTGTTATGCTGAAGACCAAGAAAGGACTCCCAACATGTAGCACTGGTGTTAATACCTGTAAAAAGCGTCCTTAGCCCCAGAAAACTGAAGACTTGCATATTTATAAACAAGCGACTGGCCCTGGCCAGGTGGCTCAGCGGGTTGGAGCACCACCCCACGCACCCAAAGGCTGCGGGTTCGATTCCTGGGCGGGGCGTGTGCAGGCGGCAGCCAGGCGGTGCTGCCCCTCCCGTCCTCTCGCTCCATAAAGTCCATAAACACACCCTCGGGTGAGCATGTTTGTATAAACCGACTACTAGTTACACTCCAGATTCAAAATACTCTGTGTGCGTCCAAACAGTTGCACCGCCTTTATTTTACAGTGTTAAGAAATTCGTGTTTTTGCCAATTTTGGTCAGTCTTCGTTCCCTCCAGTTGGGTCGAATCACTGGCGTTTGTCTGGAAATCACCTTGATTCTGATGGATTCTTTGCACCTGGGAATTCAGGGTGGCGTCTACCCCACGGGGGCGGGCCCCCTTCAGGCAGCGCTCTGCTCCGGGGGGTGCCCAGCACCACCGCCCCCTCCACCGGAGCCTGCGGCTCCGGCCCTGGCCCCCTCGCGCAGCCCCAGGCCCGGCGGTCCATTCACGGCTGGGCTTCACCGAAGGTCAGTCACCCGACACACGCTCTGGCCACGGAGGTGACAGAGCTGGACTTCCAGCAGCTGTTCTAGATGGTTCTTGCCTAACTCTCTTTCTTAAGATGGGGAGAGTAGAACTCTCCCCACTGGTGCGAACCGTTTCCAACAGCGGGCCTAAAACCTGATGTTGAAGCTGACGTTTCACATACCTGGGTTCACACGGGATCCTCGGACGACCTATCTGTCTCCAGGGCGGCGCTCTTCTCCTAGGCACGAAAGGGGTCACAATTACGTGAGGCTCTCAGCTCTAGTCAGTTCATCAGCCGCAGCCAAGCCAGGGACCCTCAACCTCCCTGAAGTGACTCCGCCCACGAAAGGCCCACCCAGCGCGGGCTCGCTTCCACGCGGGCGTTTTTCCTGTGTCCAGCTCATCTGCACGGCCACGGTCTCTGCCTCCCATGCGGAGGTTCCAGTGCGGGGGCAGGGCAGAGCGGGGCACACCCCCCGCCCCCCCGGAGGTTAAACACGCCATCACCTCCTTTAGCCTCCCGCATGCACCCCAGGCAAGAACGTCCCCCCGCCCGTCTCCCCGACCCCGCTGCCCCGAGGCGGCCGCGGTCTAGGAGCACGGGGGGAATGAAGGAGCCCGCCTGCCAAGGGGGCTAGTTTTATCGCCCTCCCTGCGGCCCCCCACGCACCACCCCCCCGGCGTCACGCGCCCCAGAAGTAAAGGCACGGTGCCCAGCGCTCGCTCCTCTCCTGGTGGTTCCGTGGGTTTGCCCAAAACTTGCCGGGAAGTCAGGGATTTTTCAGCTCTGGGATACTTCTAAGTGGGCTGAGAATTCCTGGTCCTACCCAAAATTAGGTCGTCTTACAACTATTTAAATTTAGCATTTTGGCCAGAAGAATGAAGGATTCGATTTCACCCAAAAAGTGTTTTCTTACACTGTCAGGGAGAAAAGGAGATCACGGCCACAAACACACCGCGGCACTGCGACACCGTGGTGCCGCGGCACGCAGACGGCGGGGACTTCTCCGTGCAGGGCGAGCACGGCGGCAGACGCGGCCCCCGCTGTGCGGCTGGCAACTGAAATCACTCTGCCCGCTTCTAAAACTCGCCTCAGTGAAATATGCCGCCAGCACACAACCTCCCATCAGTGACGGAAATGCTGGTTTAGCTACGGCTGCTCACGCCCCCCAGGATTCCAGCGCTGGCTCTTGCACACCGGGCGTCGGGAGAGGGCCAGCTGGCGGAGACGGCGACACCGACACCTCCGCCTCCCTGCCTGCCTGCCCCGCAGAAGCGCCCGCTCGCTGCGTGCGCCCAGGGAGCGCAGGTCTGGCTCCGGGTCCCACCGCTCCGTGGGCAGGACGCCCGGCTCAGAGTGAGGTCTGTGACATGGCCGGTTAAGGACGGCAGATGACGCAGGCGCTGAAGGAATCGCGTGGCCAAGCAGCGGCCCCCTGCTCCGCCGCTTCTCACCCAGCGTGCTGCACCCGTGCACGCGTGAGGACCACACGGAGCTGTCCGCCAGACACACACGCAGATGCGAGGAGTGGACGGTGCGACCACAGACGGTGTGGAAGCGCGAACTCCTCCGGGACGCCCATGTGATGACCGGTCCCCCCAGGACGTGGACGGCCCGGTTCCCGCAGCTACAGGAGCGCGCAGCCTGGAGCCCTGCGGCCGCAGGCCGGCTGCGTGACCGGCGCCGCACCCGAGGGGCCTGACAAACTTGGGAGATCGGAAGTAACACACACACACACCCGTTACTTCCTTATTTTTAATCAAATGTGAATAATTGCCACTGTAGTGAATAAAAATCCATGAGTCAGAATTGCATGCAATTTTTTATTTATTTCTAAATCGATTTGCACACTTAATATTATAGTGTTAACTTCACAAACAGCATAAACGCACTACAATGACATTAAGCTGCTTCCACCCACCCGAAAAGACACAATATTGCCCCCAAATTACTAATTATACAACACTGCAAATTAATGAACACCGTGAGTACTAAAATGTCACCATTCCAATGTATTAATGTCAACAACGTCTGCCTTCCTGTAACTGGCTGAGACGGTTGCTAAGGGCATGCCACAGAGACACCTCATGAGAATGGTAGGTCCCGCTCCAACCCCACAGCAACCAGGCCCCCAGGAGCAGCTATCTAGTGCAATGTCTGGTCAAGGAAATAGTTTATTCAGCACATAAATAAAAATCCACGAAGTGAAAAGCATCACAAACGCAACACTAAATTCAGATAATCAGCATCTACAGTCTCACCATCTAAAGTCTGACTGATACGCTGCCAGAATGAATTCCACACCAATCGGCTACGTTAAAACAGCACCCCCCCCCGCAGTGCGTGACTGCAGGGTGCAGGGAGGGAACCCTAGCTGGGATCCCTCCACCCTTACCCTTGCTTTGTTCTGGTTTTTAACCCTAGAGAAACGACCCCCCTCCCCGGAAAGAACTCACACGCCAATTCAGGAGTGGCTGAGACTGGTCAAGGTCTCGGTCCACCCGACTGGGCACCGGCCTTTCGGACGCCGCCACCTGCCCGTGCCCCCGTTCCACAGACGTGCACTCGGCCCGTGCTGCCACGTGCCCCCGGACCCTCCAGCGGCGGGCGTGCAGTTCTCCCCTCTCCCTGCCGGGCCACCGAGAAACCGCGGGCACGCGGTTTGAAGGGACCCAGCGTGGCCAGGGCGGGCTCCCGGGCACCTGGGCCGGGTCTGGCACTCGGGGGCAGCACCGGGGTCGGGGCCATTCCGACCCACCAGCTTATCAATCTTGAACGCCCTGTTCATCCCACACTTTGTTCTTAAAACTTGAAACCCTGTGATGGGCCGTGTGACCGTTTACATAGGGGAACCCTGGCTCTCGATCTGCTTTATTTGCTTCAGGCTCCGGCTACCCCACAGCCTGTCAGGGCCTCACGAGCAGAATTGGCGTCAGCGCCCCCCCCCGCAGCACGCCCCTCCCCCCCCAAACATCTGAGGAGAGAGCGCTCCACACACCGGGCCGCCAGCTGCTGCTGTCCGCCGGTCAAACCCTCCGCCTGCCACAACGTAGCTGACCTGGCTCTGCGCTCAGGTCTTGTCTCACAGACGTTTACGGGGTGTGTTCCGGTGGACAGGGTGACAGCGGTGGGTTTTAAACCCTCCGATGGCAAAGACGGTGGAGGCGGACGGCCCGGCCTTCCCGGCACCGTCCCCTGTGGCGCACTGCATGCCCCTGCCACCACAGGCCTCCTCGCCGGCCACGCGTGTGGGAGGGACACGCGGGGGAGACGCGCCCGGAGGGCCGGCGAGTCAGGGGCACGCTGACACTGACACCACCACCACCAGCGCGGCCCGGCCCGGCGCGTGTGCCTCACAGGATGCTCTCCCTCTCCTCCCCGAAGCCCGTGCTCTCAGCGGCGGCCACGGCGAGCAGCTCGGAGGAGTCCTTCGAGAGCCGCGTGTAGCTGGCACGCTGGGCCCGCTTGTGCGCCGTGCTCTTCAGGTTCTCGTTCTGAACGGCCGCGGGGCCGGAGCTGGAGGCGGGCCTCGGGGTAACCGGGGGCGGCTCCCGGGTCCCGTCCCGGTCATCGAAGTGCTGGTGCGCCCGGCCGGCCGGCGCGCTGTTGTTGTTCAGGGTCACGGTGCTGGGCGTGCGGTTCAGGTTGTAGCCCTTGTGGCAGGCGGGCCAGCTCTCCTCGGGGCTGCTGGCCGTCAGGCTGCACTCGGACGGGCTCTTCTTGTCCTCGGAGCAGATGGACATGCGGGCCACCAGGGGGTCCGGCAGGCCGCTGAGGCTGTGCGGCACCCCCCGGGCCGCGCCGCGGCCGTCCTCCTCCAGCTCGATGAGGTTGGCCTTCTCCAGCTGCGGGTCGTCGGCCGCTTCCGAGTGGTTGGGCGAGCTCTCGCTGGACCTCACCCCCGAGTCGGAGGAGTCCTTCTTGTCCAGGAGGGCGTCCGCCAGGTACTCCTTCGCCTTGATGAAGGTTCTGAGCGGCTCGGCGCTGGGCTCCGGGGACCTGGCCCCGCGCTCGGCCTTGCCCTCCGCCCTCCGGTCCTTGCCGTCCCGGAGCAGCGGGGTGTTGTCGGACTCCTCCGGCCCCGACTCGTCCTCGTCGCTCGGGAGCTTCTGGTAGCGCAGGCCCCCGCCCTTGAGCTTCAGGTCCGTCTGGAAGAGGCTCGACCTCTCCGAGGACCTCTTGCCCGGGAGGAGCTTGCTGCCCGACTGGTCGGACTTCTCGTCTTCCTCCGTGATGGGGTCCAGGGGCGAGGCGTCATTGGTGGAGACCCCCGACGAGGAGTAGTCCATGACGTCGCCCCTCTTCAGCAGGAACGGCTTCCTCCCGTCATCCGGCTTTGGCTCGCCGTCCTTCCCTTTCTCCGAGTCCAGACTCGAGTGGATGGAGCCCCCCGACGCACTCTGACCCAGGTAATAGGCGCTGTGTGGGGAGGACCGGCCGCTGACCGCGGCGGAGCCCGGGCCCCCTTCCAGCTGCGACATCTGCGCGATGTACTCCCGGTACGCGTCCCGGTACTCGGCCTGCACCTTGTCCGTGAGCTTGGCGATCTCGGTGCTGGAGTCCTGGGAGTTGAGGCTCGAGAGGCTCGGGGTCCTGCGTGTCTGTGACTGCGAACAGAAGAAAAACCTCAGTGAGCGGAAACCAGAACCAAACACACCAGCTTAGGAACTCTCTGTCTCCAACACACCCGAGTCTTCTGGAAGAATTCTGCGTAACAAAGTGTAACAAAAGCCGTGGACTGCAGAAAACTTTACCATGAATAGAAAGTGTTGCACAAATTTTAATAAAATTGGTTTAATATTTAAATATAATTAAATGTATTAACAAATAATCTTAGCACTTGTTTTCAAAACTTCAAACTTCTAACTTTTATGTAAGGAAAAAGTAACCTTCACTGATAAAATGTAAAAATCCCCCTTAGAAAAGAGAGATTAGAGCTAAGCTACATCTCAAAAACAAAAGACTCATATCTTCCAAGTATATTAAAAAGAACCTTTCTCAACTTGTAAGACACAACGGTTCTGTCAAATTTCAATTCAGAGTGAGAAAATGTGCTCAAGGTACCCCCCCCAAAAAAGAAGGATCTAGAAGGCACAGAACACGCAGTGCCATGGGAACGGCAGACACACGCAGGAGCCAGAGAGCAGCAGGAACGGAGGCCACGGGGCCAGCAGCCGGGCCGTGAAGTCGGAGCAGAGAGAGACGTGAGACGGCTTTAACAGGCTGATTTCCAACGAGAAGGGTTCTGCTTAGACTTGCTTTTGATCCCAGAAAAGCTAACAAACGAGGAGTAAAAGGCACAGATCCGGAAAAAGACGGGAACGGAGGAAAAGAGTCGAGGGGCTGAAGGGACACTCGAAGGCTGAGACGCAGGAGCGAGGCGGAGTGTCCGTCCGTCCGTCCATCCGTCTGCGGGGAGAGGAGGGGCTGGCTGCCGCAGGCCCACAGGCCCGGGGCCACCTCGGCCGGGACTTAGCACCCTCTGCTCTCAAAGGCCGGGTGCTCCCGCTCTGGGGGACCCTCGGGTCCAGACTGTCTCCGTACGGATGCAGACGCCACCCGCCTCCCCACCCCTCTCCGGGGCGGGTGCTGTCACAGGAGACTTGGCGCAGGCACGGACGTGGGCTCCGAGCTGCCTTCTGCTAAGCCGGGCACTAGAGAGACTTGTGAAACCCGTCATTTCCACTAAATTTTGTTTTGCTTTAGAAAATACTGTCGTTTTTCATGAAAATGTTAATAAGTAATAGGTTTATTTTTAAGTGAATATTTCAAAAGTTTCTCCATTTTTGTTTCTAATATAGTAAATATTGACAGATAAAATTTACACGAACAAACGCTCCTAGGGTCCCCAATAACTTTTAGCAGTGGGAAAGAATTCTGAGACTGTCCTTTTCCGAAAGAAGCAGGTCTGAGACCCGCTGTGGTCGCAGGCAGGCCGGGAGCCCCAGGCTGCGGCAGGAGGCCCCGGGCGCGGGCGGCAGAGGAGCGCACTAGAGTCCCGGCCCCCGGCGGAGAAGAGGAGCCGCTGCGGCTGACACGCAGAGACCCCAGCACAAGGGCAGGCCTATCGCAGCGTGAAGGAAGGGAATTTTTTAATCTTTGTCAACACCCAGCAATAGATCGGTTTTCCAACTTATTCCAAGAAATAAGGCGGACAGTATTTAGGAAAAGACAATAACAACTGAGGAAATATTTTTACTACCGACCCAAACAAGCCGCCCCTAAAATCGGCGGACCGACCACGCACTCGCTTCCTAAGCGTCGCTCCCGTTCAGCGAGCGTCCCTGTAGCTGCGCGCTGGGCTTCCTCCCCCACGTGTCCTCGCTCCCCCCACCCCCTCCCCCTGCCCCCCGCTGTCCCCCGGGTTCCGTCTCTCCTGGTTCCCCGCACACTCTCCCCTGGCCTCTCCCTGCATTTTCACGCCCACTTCTCCGAACACCCCGAGGAGGAACTTGCACACCTGAGTGTGGGACACGGAGAGAGGGAATGCCCGCCAGGAGCACCGTCTGTGCCGAGACACCAGAGTGCGGCGCTCCCGAGGGGACGCGTGTTCTGACCACCAGCCCATGAGTGAGCGTGAGGGCCCCCAGCAGGCCGGGGGTGGCCTTTGCGAGCCGCCCCTGCCGCGGCCCTCCCTGCCCCCTCCACCCCCTCCGCACTCCCAAGTCTCTGCACGGCTCCCTGGGAACGGGCTCAGGCGCCACCGAGCACCGATTCTGAGTGGCCCGCGGGTGCGCCGACACAGCCTCAGGAACCGAGCACCACCCTCGTCCCTGAGGACGGGAGCACAGCGTCGCCCACCCACCTGCCAGCTGAGGTTGCTGTGGCGCGGGGCGCCCTCGTCCAGGCCGAGCGTGTTCAGCTCCTCGAAGCTGAAGTTGAGCGTGTAGGGCGTCTGCGCGGCCAGCTCGCCGTGCGGCAGCTCGCCGGGTGGGGCCCGCCGGGCGGGGTCGCCCGGGGGGGCGGGGCCGCTGTTGTTCTCGTTGAGCAGCCGCGGGTCCTCGGGCACCAGCTGGCTCTCTGCACTTCTCATCTCTAGCACCTTCGGGAGGAGAGAGACCACTTACATCCACACCGACAGGTCACGTTTGGGAAGCTTCAGAGGTATTTTAAAACAGAGCATCACGAAGTTATCACAGTGGCCAGGAGAAAGCACACTTCCCCTAAGTGAGCTTCTCCTCTGTCTGCTCACCGTTCACTTTAATGCTAAAGGAAGTCATGGCGATAATCATCCTATTTCCACCACACTCTACTCTGTTACACTCTCATTTTAGCTTAACCTTTAACTTAAGGACAAAACGAACGCCCCTGGGCGGTGCCAGAGGAAGCCGGGGCGGGGCAGTGGCCAGAGCAGGCTGCACTCGGGGACCAGGGCAACCGGGGCACAGGGACCTGGGCTCGAGCTGGGCTCAGTCCCGAAGGTGACGCGGACGGGGCGCTGCAGCCAGGGGTGACGGCAGGGGGCGAGCAGGGCGTCCCGGGGACAGAAACTCAAGGGGAAACCGCTCAGGGCCGGCCGTGTGAGGCCGGTCCAGCTGCTCGGGCAGACTCCTGACACAGGCAGCGGGGCACAGACGGCCGCAGGGGGCGGTGGGCCAGGGGGAGCCCGACCCCGTATGAGGGTGGTGGGACACGGAGCGGCGGCGGCTCTTCCTACACGGGCCTGACAGGCTCTTCCCGTAACTGGGCGGTGCAGGCCGGACGCCGAGGCCTGGAGGCTCAGAGGAGCCGCACTGGAGGCGGGTCAAGGACAGAGTCTCCGTCAGTGAAGCAGGGAGAATGAGCAGGGGCCTCTCCCCCACATTCCCAGGTGAAACGCCCAAGACCAAGGTCACCGCCTGCTGCTCTGGACACTGTGCCTAACAGAGCCCACGAGGACTGGGCAGAGGTGCGAAGTGCAGCTTTCTCTTCGCACCTCTGCGAAGACACAGAAACATTCCAGTTTAGACCAACACTCACTGGCACTTATTTCACGCAATGTTGTAAATACAAAATATCTTACTGCGCTTCTGAAAAGATGCCAGTCTCCAAAATTCATATTCATTTCTTTCTTCAGTTCATCAATGTTACACTGAGCTAACACACGGCCGTTTATGTTTGCCTGAGTAAAACAAAGACAAAGAAACAGAAGGAATGTGACATATTCTAGACTGTGATTTGGAAGTGCGTTTATATACACAGCATAAGAGAATCATGGGCGACCAGAAAATCTGACCTGAAGAGGCTGTCACCCCACTTAACAGCGTAGCCACCAGGCTGGATGCGAGCAGCACGGGGCGTCACTCCGTGCTTCCCCAAGTGTCTTAGCCTCGGGGCGGCCCGGGGTTGGGGGGGGGGGCGGGCGGGGCAGGCCGGGGCACGCACCTTCCTGATGGTGGCGCAATACTGCGGCAGCAGGCTGGGCTCCAGCCCCTCTATCTGCTTCAGCTTCTCGCACACGGCGTCCACCGTCATGGCGCTCAGCAGCGCTGCTCCTGGGGCGGGGCCCGGCCCCTGCAACAGTCGAGGGAACACACGTGTGTGAACAGCACGCAAGGTCAGACACAGGCGGCCACATGGCCACGGCACTCAGGCGGTGGTGCTGGGGCGTGCTCTGGTGGCGGCACAACCCTGGGGGGGGGGAGGGGGGCAGGATGGGGCGATGGCGCCGGGGACGGCGCCGCCTCCGCTGCACCTGAGTGGGCGAGCAGCTCGCGCCACAGCAGTGACACCGCCTGCCCGGGCCACTCCTGGAGAAGGCAGCCGCCCCGTGGACCGAGCCCGGGCCAGTGTCAGTGCTCACGGCCTGGCCCCCGGGGAGAGGGGGCGGCCCTCCCTCACAGGAGGGCTCCTCTGTTTTAGAGAGCAGGAACGAAGGGGAACGCTGCCGTGCCCACGCACAGAAACACATACGGTCGATCTGAGAAGTGATATGAGAAGCACCTAAATGGCTTTAAGTGTCTCTACATGCTAACTTCACAGTCTCTGGCAGCCAGTTCCCAGGTCTCGATCACATTTTACACCCAAGGGATCTAAACCTCCCCTCGAGAATCCACACAATGGCCCCGGCTGGTGTGGCTCAGTGGACTGAGTGCCAGTCTGCGAAACACAGGGTCGCCAGTTCGATTCCCAGTCAGGGCACATGCCTGGGTTGCGGGCCAGGTCCCCAGTGAGGAGGCATGTGAGAGGCAACCACACATTGGTGTTTCTCTCCCTCTCTTTCTCCCTCCCTCCCCGCTCTCTAAAAGTAAAAGTAAATGAGATCTTTAAAAAAATCTACACAATAACCTCATAAACACAAAACAACAGGATTACTCCTTAACATGTGAGAGTAAACCCCACCCACTAAATGTGGTCTCATCCGAAAGAAAAGTCAAGACAACCGACAACTGTCGTGCTGACTGAGAAGACAGCCCCCCCTCCGACCGCGGCGGTGGGCCAGAGGAGTGCTCGCCGCAGTCGGCTGGGCATGGCCGCTGTCCCCCACCACAGGGGCGGCCGCGGAGGTCTAGAGGGGCCACCTTCGTCCCCGGAGCCACAGAATGAGGGAGCGGCTACGGCAGCTTTGGACCAGAACCCTAACGCGCCTGAACTTCCTGTGTCCCTTGCTCTACTTTTGACACTTTAGGGAAGTGATAACCACAACAAAGAGAACACACCAGCCAGGAGAGAGGATAAAGACAATTTCCCAAATGATCTATCCTGTTCACCGTTCGATCTAACTGTACAGTGATCGAATTTATCCTGTCCTCCAGGCTACGTACATCTGTACTTTCTGTTGCCTCTCCCGTCAGTACCAGGACAGAAGTAGACTGTACCACAGCCCAGACCACCTGCCAGCACACGCTGTCAGCCAGCTGTCAAAATGTGGCTGTCACGTAGAAGCACAACACATCGTTCCATCGTGAACTGGTGAACCTACACACCTGGAGGACGCACCCGGCACCCCCAGCACTGCGCACGAATGCAGTGCCGGCCAGGGGGCGGCCAGGTGGGGCGGGGCCTCTGTGAGAGGCGGGAGTCGCAGCCGGCTGACGAGCGTGAGACAGGCCCGCAGAGGTCTGGAAATGAATGCCCTGGAGCACCGCGTACCAAACACATTTACTCAGTTTGTTTTATTAGATATAAATTTAAAATACACTGCGTGTTACATAGTCTGAGGTTAAATTCCTTCAGAAATACTAACAGCAAAACACTGGTATTTCAATAATTCAGTCTTCCTATCGACGCACGGTTCCATTCTCGGCCTGGACGCACAGAGCCGATACTCGGTGTCCACTGTGCGCTGCGCACGATGACGAGGTGAAGTACTCCCTGTGCGTTTCTAAATCCACCCGGGCCACACTGGCTGATGGCGTCGTGCGAGGCCCAGACGCCTGACCTCACACCAGACACCTGTACGCTCTATCGTGCGTCGTCCCTGACGCCCAGTCTCCCCCCATCACCACGGATGTGACCCCTTCACTCTTGGTCCCTCCCCCGCCCCCGCCCGCTGGTGACCACCATTCTGGTGTCTGTATCTCTTAGTTGGTCTGCTGTTCCTTAAATACACCCCACACAGGAGTGATGCCACCGGGCTCTGTCCTTTTCCACCCGACCTACTTCCCTTAGCGTAACACTCTCAAACCCACCCACGCTGTCACAGGTGGAACCTTTCCGCCCCTCTGGCCGAGCGGCGCTCCGCTGTGGGCACGGACCGCTCCCTCACCCAACCCCCACCGGAGGGCGCTGGCCACGGTGAACAGTGCTGCAGTGAGCGCAGGGGGGTGTGTGTGTCTTCACACGCAAGAGTTCTCGAAGACTTCAGGTGGACTCCCGGAGGAGGGTCTGCGGGGTCACACGGTAGTTCCGCTCCTAACTGTCTCCGCTCCCAACGAGGCGCCCCCACACCATTCCCCGCAGCGGCTGCACCAGTTTACGCGCCCACTGACAGTAAATGAGGGGCCTTTCTTCTCCCCCGCACCCTCTGCAGCCCTTGTTACGACCCGTCTTGTTGACGGCAGCCCTTCCAACGGGGGTGAGGTGGTATGTCACTGTGGTCTTGATGGGCACCCCCCTGGTTACCAGTGACCCTGCGCATCTCTGCATGCATCTGCTGGCTAGCTGTACGTCTCCCTTGTTAAAGTGTCCACTTAGGGCCTCTGCCCAGTTTTTAATTGGATTGTTGTTTAGTTCTTCAGTTCTTTAGTTCTTTAGTTCTCCAGGGTTCTGGAGGGTGTTGGTTCTGTTTCTGTGGGAAAGGCCGTGGGGTTCTGACGAGCGACGAGTTGTGTGGGTTCTTCACATATGTTGGACATTAGACCTTTATCAGAAGTATAATTTGCAAATTTCTCCTCCCATTTGGTTGGCTGCCTTGTTTTTTTTTTTTACTGTGCAGAAGCTTTTTATTATTTATTTGCAGAGTTCAGCTTTTTACTGAATGTGTTACAAAAGAGGGTTAATCAAAAAGACCGAAGTCCTCTCTCTGCTTCCCGTCGTCCTCCTCAGCTGGGGCATTACGTAAACGCCACTGCAGTGGCCGCGGCGGGGGCAGGGCCTCCTGCTGGGGCAGCACCGGCCGCCAGGGCGGGTCCACCACCCCTGCACTGCAGACGGTGCTCCCAACGCTGACCGCGGCCCGAGCCTTCGCCAACAGGCCTGGCCAGAACGGGTCAACATTCCCTGCAGCTGCTTAAGTGAGGGCAGGGGTCTCCGCTTCCGCGTGCAGGGTGAGGGCAGAGTTCAGTCAGAAGTGGTCCCATTCATCTACTCTTTTGTCTCCCTTGCCGTCGGGGTCCAGTTCTCAAAAAACTCTCCCAGACCAAGGCCCGCAAGTTTGGTGCCCGTGTCTTCGCCCCCGTGCTTCAGTGTTCGAGGCCCCACGTTTAAGCCCCTCACTCGCCGCGTGCCGGTGTTGGCGCGTGGTGTCCGACAGCCGCCCGGCCTCGTCCGCTGGCCGCTGGCCGCCCCGTGTTCCCGCGCCACCCGCTGAAGAGGCTTTCCTTGTTCTGCTGCACGTTTCCAGCTTCTTCGTTGAAAACTAGTTGCCTCCATACGCGTGGGTTTACTTCTGGGCTCTCGATTTTGTTGTCTGTTTCCCCGTTGTCTTGATCACGGCAGCTTAGCAGAACGGCTTGAAGTCAAGGTTTCTCTTTCTTCTCAGGGCTTCACTGGGACTCGGGGTCGTCCATGGTTCCACGTAGACTGGGAGGGTGTTGGTTCTGTTTCTGTGGGAAAGGCCGTGGGGTTCTGACGAACGACGCTCTGCATCTGCACACGGCTGTAAGTACCACGCCGCTCGGACCACGCCGGTCCTTCCACCCGAGAGCGCGGTGGCGTCCTCCTCCTGCGTGCCTGCCCGGTCTCTCCCAGCAGCACCGGTGGTCAGTGCGCAGGCCCTCCACCCTCCAGCAAGTGCATCCGCTGGTTGTTGCCGTTGCACACGGGACTGTCTTCTCCACTTCTTCTAAGACTTGGTCACTGGCAGCCGCAGCCACAGCCGAGCTGTGCGCTGCCTCTGAACCCTGCGGTTCCCAGCGTCGTGTGCTGCTCCTGAACGTCCGGACATCCGTCGCGCGGTCTTCAGAGTGTCCTCCGTGTGGAATCACGTCACCCGCAGACAGTGGCGGTTCCACCTCTTGCTTCCCATTCAGACGCCTTTCTCTCTCTCCCTTGCTGGGGTGCTCTGGCTGGGCCCCGGCGCTGCGCTGAACCACAGTGGCGAGAGTGGCCTCCTGGTGCTGTTCCCGATGCCAGAGGAGGGCGCTCAGGGCCCCCGCGGAGTGCGGTGTCACCCAAGAGTCTGGCAAAGACGGCCCTCACTTTGCTCGGGCACTCCCCTTCCGACCCATCTGACGACGGTTCCCATCCCGAGTGGGCGGCCATCCTACCGGGTGCTTCTTCCTGTCCACCGTCACGCTCACGGACTTCTAGCTCTGTTTCACTGGTGCGCTGCACGGCACTGACTGGTCTGCAGGCGTGAGCCTCCTCATGCCCAGACGAGCCCCCCCGCCCCCCCGACCACGGCGTGCGATGACGTGTCAGCTGCCCTCGGCTGGCGCTTCCCGTTCAGGGCTGCGTGGGACTGTCCCCTCCGCTCTCTCCTGGCTCGTGAGGGTTCTGCTGAAAACCTGACGGGGTTCTGACGGGCTGCCTCCGTGGGGTACAGTCTTTTCTCCCCTTTTCCTACAGGGGAAACTTTTCTAAAATAATCAGATATAATAAAATTATTTTGGTACCAAATGAAAGGAACCAAAATAATGAATTTTGGGAGGGGATCTCATAAAAGGAAAGGGAAGGAGTACAAGAGTGACAGGAAAAAGCACACGCAGTGACCCAACAGGGAAACACCTGGACACAGAACAGTGACCCCTTCAAGTTCACCATGCATCCTTACTTGAAAACTACCTGTTACAAGTCAAGAACGGGTAATTTCAGCATACACCAGAACTTATTTTTTTAAAAATTTTCTCACACACAAAACTGAATGCAGAAGATGTTAGTTTGTTTAAACTGTTAAATATAAATTCCAAAATGCATACAAGTCAAAATTTCTCCAGGCAAAAGTAAAGCTAACAAAACAGACTAAAACTACCTTGATGTGATAACACAAGTCTACACCGTAAGTAGATTAAAGCCACACTCTGAAGCACATCTCTGGTGAGTGCACTAGAAGCCTCGCACTGCCTAGCCAGCAACGCGGGCCGTGCAGAGACCGAGAGCAGCCAGCACAGGGAGCCCGAAGCACGGCAACAGGCACGGACGTCTGCACAGCTGGCACGGACGCTCGCGTCTCGCGGTCTCACTAAGGTTCTGTACCTGTCTCTGCTTGTTAAGCCCCGAGTCACACGGCTTTAAAAAAGGAATAAAACAGAATGAAGGACACGAGCTTCAAGTAAAACATCACATACACGTACATATGATAAACATAAGCAGCGTTCTGCCATGCCCTCCACTTCCCCGTGACTTCGGACCAACCGCCTCCACAGCAGCACTGAGCGAGGGACCCCCCCCCAACACACACACACACACAGCGGTTCCGTCGGGCCAGCGCATGCGTGCACGTTCTAACGCTGCGCTCTCAGAGTTTACACTCTGCTAAAAGAATCAGTCACTGCCATGCGTTTAACAAGAAAGGCTGGTAAACCAAATTCGTTATGAAAAGTCAGTAATCTTACCACAAACAAATGTAAAGTTAATTGTTAAAACATTCTGGTTTAAAATTGCAGTGATGTATTGCAGACCAATTTAATGAGATCTACATACTTGGGATTCACACGATCACTCCATAAAACGAAGTATTCTCTAGCTACACTACAGCCAACGTTGAAAACACACACTTTAAATCTGGGGTTCGTCCCGTGAGGCTGGAGGCACGCATGCGCCCTGAGAAAAGGCCCCTTACGAAGAAAGGCGGCCGGAGCCTCGCGGCTCGAGACGGCTCAGCCGCACCGGTGGCCACCACCTGCCTCCTCGGTTAACATCAGGGTCCAGAGGAGGGGGAGTTTCAGGAACTCCCGTTCACAGCAGACACGGTGCCAGCAATGATCCTCCCTATGCACCAGGCCGCCAGGAAACACTCTCACAAGAGTTCACAGGACCTAGAGGTGAGTGACAGCGCTGCCTCGGCCACTTCCAGCGCTGCTGCAGCCGGAGGAAGGGCGGTGCTCTGCGGCTGCCGTGGGACGCCCCCCCCACCCCCCCAGCTCCCATCCCCTCCCTGTCCTGCCCATGGCCCTGTCTCCTCAGGGCCCTGTCTCCTTGGGGCCCTGTCTCCTTGGGACCCTGTCTCCTCGTTCCCCCATCAGCCTAGGGCAGGGAGGCTCTTGAGAGAGATCCCGTGCGTAAGCGTGGGGACTAGAAAAGTACGGAGAGAGAAGCGCTAAGGAAGGTCCAGTTCGCTACGAAAGACCCAGCACCCAAAAGGAAGCTACTGCTGACCTGGCTGGAAGGTGTGCCTTACTCTTCAGATACCGGAGAAATAATAACTAGGTCCAAGTTGACAGATGAGGCCTAATGTCACATTTTATGGGCAATGTTTTAAAAAACACAAGTATTAAACAGCAGCAATGAGTATGATTTTGTCTTTTTCTTTAACTTTTAACCATGCTCTCGGATTTCAGCGCTATCACCGCTGCAACATCACACTTCCGTGAAAACACCTCCATGGATTCATCTGCGGTTCACTCATTGTTTAGGAACAAGGCTCCTTCGGGCTGAAGTCTGGCCAAGGACTGCCCACCGTGTCACCACAGAGGAGACGAGCTCTTGCCCAGACCGGGACGGAATGAAAACGCACTTCTCGACTGCCCAGGGAGGGCACGGGCCTCCTGGGGGTGCTGCCGGGAGCTGGCGGGGAGGCCCACCCCGAGCCTGCACCCCCCCCACCCCGGAGTGCCACCGGCCCGCGCCTTACCCGCGGCGTCTTTAACCTTCTCGTCGTCCAAGCCCGCTCCTGGACAAGGAGAGACAGCTTAATGGCGGCACGTGCTCACTGGAGACAGGGGGCAGGTTCTAAACCAGTGGTGGAAGTGAGAACCATCTGCAGCCGAGCCCCGCCTTTTCTCACTTTTCACTCGGTCACTCCACTGACTTCTTAACCATTTCATGAAAACCAAGACCTTCATTTTTAGTGCCTTTATGAACTAACTCAGTAACTTTCATAGACCTCTAAAAGTAAAAGTAGTGGCCCAACAGAAATTGGGATGCACGGTTTTAACCCTGCCTTTGCGGTTCCGAAGTCCTTGACAGCTAAACTCTGTGCTACTTATCTTCCTGCCTTTTCGATAAGGCACAAAGGTGACCTACACAAATACCACCGTCTGAGGCACCGAGTCGCCCTGCGGCCGAGAAGGCCGAGGAAGGACTCGTGCGTGCTGCTCCCTGACGGCCTTCCCACGCATGCCCCCGCCCCCAGGCAGGGCTTCGTCAGCTCTGTCCACGGCTGCCCCCCCACGACAGCGCCTGCTGGACACTCAGGGCGCTGGCTGGACCGGGGGCCACCACAGGGGCACCAGCAGTGCGTGACGTGCAATGAGCGAGTTGACAAAAAGCTAAGGAAAGGTTCCGTCATGCCTTCTGCAAGAACGCTTCTTGGGGAAACACGGATGCCGCGGCCAGCAGCCGCCCTGAGCAAACGCGGACCACCGCACCTGTGAGGGCACCTCTTGGAAGTCGGGAAGGGAGTGCCCCTGAGGAGGCCACGCTGGAGACGGGCCCTGCACGACGGGGCCTCCCCGTCACGGCCCCGGATGGGCCGGACGCCGCGGCCGCCCAGCTGGACTGGACTGGACTGGAGGGAGCAGCAGCGGGTGAAACCCCCGGAGAGCTCTCACAGCGGGAAGTACTGGGGGCACGCAGAGCCGAGAGTCCCGCTGACCCCTACGAAAACAAACCAGCCGACCCCTTCTCGGCCAGAGGAGCACGAGCAGATGAAAGGCTGAGTTCGCCTGAATGACTGGAGTAATCGTACCGAGACAGAGGTTTTTAAGCACGAAGCAGTCTTAGTTTCTGACCTTTAAAGCTCCGTGCAAGAATCTGGCCTTGGGGGCAGTGGTCATAAAATCGTTCAGTGCTTAAAGCGGGCAGCAGCCAAGTGCTCCTTCTCCCCGGGACCTAGGGGGCAGGGCTGCTTTTCCCGGCGCAGGAAGCCGCGCATCCCGGAGGGTCAGCAGGGTCTGTGCAACTGGAAAGACCAAACTCAGCGCCAAGTCACACCCAGTGCCAACAGGACAGCTCGGCCCGGCCCGGGTGGAGAGCAGCGGAGAGCAGCCCTCGGCTGCCCGCCCACACCTGGTGCGCCCCCTCCGCGCCCCCCCAGCTCAGGCAGCCTCACAGAGGGACTGGGCCTCCACCCTGGGGCCCAGGGCCCTCAGAGGTCCTCCAGAAGAAAGGCGTGTTGAAGGCAGGGGCCAGAGCTCTCTTTTTACTGGTTTTATAAACTGGAGTTCTGGTTGAGATTTCATTTCTAAAACAGGCTTCTCTGCGTTAAAAGTGGGAAAAAACTGCTCCTTTCCAGCTCTGATGTTCTGGGGAGCACACCTTGGGTCCAGTGTAATTCTTTCCTGGTTCTACGAGGTCTGGCGCGGATGTTCTCCATGGAGAAGACAGAAGCTAGCACGCAGGCTTGTATTTTACGTCTTCCCCTCCCTCGTCAGACAGCCGCACGGTTCTGGGGTCTCTCCGGTACGTCCTGGCCGGCCTCCACAGGACACAACCGTTACAGTGGGCCTTAGCGTGAGAACACCCAGTGATCTCCACGAGGACCCCCTTTATAAAGGTGTGTCCAAAATGCCTCATGACGGAAAAGATGGGGCCCCCCACACTGAAAAGTCTACAGTTGGTTAACGCTTTACAGTCTGGCTTTTTTGCTGTGTTTTTGTACTTTTTTAACTCATTATTCTGTGTCTGTGATGACAATTTGTCGAAAAATGTTTGTGCGGCTCTTGACTCACCCACAAGCAGCTCCTGTCAAGTGTCCCAGTTAAGGGGCAATGAATGAGCAGAGAGGGCCCCGTCCGCAGCCCTGCGACCCCAAAGCGGAGGCAGCTCTCTTCGACAGGCCTGGGGCGCTCCATGGACGGGAAGGCGGACTGACGTTCACGTGGACGGCGCCTGCGTCGGCTCAGAGCCACAAAGGCCCGGGACAGCGTCCCCCAGGCAGATGCTTCTTCCCATTTCCACCACTGCTTTGACTGTGGCTTTGAACTAAGTGTCTACTTCCACTAGTCTTCTACAGAACAAATTTTACAGGCTGCTGTCATTGTTAATTTCTCAAAAGCAAAGAAAGCTCCGTAAGTAGCTATTATTCACTAAGCAGATCACAAAATTATCTTTTAATATTAAAAGAAAGCAAATAGCATGGTTACTCCACTAAACAAAGGCGCTAATATATTTAGGACATCTTTGCTCTCTGTTACTGGGCTTCTCCCCACGTCTCCAGAGCCGCATTCCTCCTCCTTCCCCCGGAACTCACTGCAAACCGGCCCGACGCCCCCTCGCTGGACCCTGGAGCGCCCACACAGGCGCCTGTTAACTCTGCGTGTGTGTTCGCACTCCTAAGCACGGAACAGCCACGTTCCCGCATGTCTGTGACACTAGGCCCCCACGCTCTTCACAGTGTCTGATGTGCATCAGAAGTGTGCTGAGGAGTGTCAGCTCCGAGAACTGCATCGCACGTGTGCATCTATGTGTCAAAAACTGTCAGACTGAAGTCATTCTTGCACAGAGTGGCCGTGATCCACGGATTACAGACCCTCCGACACCCACACAGAATCACTGTGTTTTATTGTGCCTGTCATTCGCGGATAACTGAATTCACTCACGTGCTTCAGCTAAAACATTAATGATTTACAAAGAATCATCAACTCTTCAATGAAAACACCAAAATGGTCCTCTTTCTCACCAACATTAACTACAAACTAAAGTTAAAAAAACGACTGTCTATCCAAATGCATGTTTTAAGTTAAAGCATTATGGATAAACTCAGCATGCATGTTTTATCACATTAATTCCAGCAGCCATGCCCCAGCTCAGCACAGCTCTGGATTAAACTGGTTGTGTTTGCACGGGCATAACATTCTATACACAAATTAGCAGAAGTTAAAATACAAACTGCATTTTTAAAAGCCACACTGAGTAAATGAAGATTTTAAGGCTCACCACATTAAATGTATTTCTTATTAAGCATAAAGTCTTGAACAATAAAAACACAAAATGACTTCCTATACAAGTTGGTTTGCTTTTTTTTTTTTAATCTACTTTAGGGTGTTTGGGGGAAAGGGTTCGCTAAATCATTCCCTTTACACGCTGAACTAGCTCCGTGTTCACCTGGAAATTTTATTTCAATAAATGCACGTGGACTTGTGAGCAGTAGCGCTACGCTTACACCAGGGCTTCAGAAACCAAGGAGTCGCCCAGCAGCCACTGGTGGTCAGCACCACACAGCGCCCAGCGCCCCTGTGTAGTCTGAGGGGCGATCTGGAGTGTTGTCACAAACCTTCTCCGCGAGGAGCACTAAGCGCAGGCTGAACAAAAACAGGCCCAGCTGGAACCAGGGCTCGCCACCGCGGAGCCACCCCGGCCAACTGGCCACGCCCCTGAGGGCTGCGGAAGAGCCCCCTGATTGGACAGTGAGAAGCCCCGCCCGCACCCCTGAGAATGGAGAGGGCGGGAGGAGAGGGCGGGAGGAGACGAGGGGTGGGCGGGCGTTAGCCTCAGGGTTAACCGGGAGCACGAGGGTTAGTAGCCCGCAGCTGTGCCCAGCGGCGCCACACCCCAGACGCAGTTAGTGACCCCGGCCAGTGCAGACAGGCAGGCGCCCGCAGGCTGCGCATTACCCTCGAGGAGGCTGTGGGCGAGGGCAGCCCCTCCGCAGCGTCCTCCTGGATAGCCTCCTACCAACACAACACAGAACGAGAGCGTGGGTGACAGGCGAGGGGGAGCCACGCTGGGGGAGGGGTGGACGCGACGGCAAAACAACACAGAACCTGGAAGGGGTTAGGTTTCTCCGTCGGTGAGGACATGGAAAAATTTACACGGAAGGTTAGGTCCTGTATCTTCTGCCTCCTAATTTATAAAACTGTATTAACAGGGACTTTCTCTTTTTATTAAACTAATTACCAACAGGAACACCTAATATGTTAGGCACAAATGTATTTTGTTTTGGATTAGATTCAATAGCACATTTGAATAATTTTCTTATCCTATTTAATGTCTAACATTAGCTTAAAATGCTCTTTCAGTATGTCTTCCAATTTTTACACGCCAGAGCTGACACACACACAGACGCCACGTGAGTGTCCTTCACACAGACGCTGGGGGTGAGCGGGCGTGGAGGCTCAGCGCCGGCGGCCCGGGGGCGAACGCCGCGTCCCGACTCCGAGCGCTGGCCGCACACACTGGACCTCCGCCCACGGAGGCTGCCCGTCGGCCCCTCCACAGACATTTATTTAACAGACACAAAAGCAAAACACATTTTACGGTTAGTACTAGCTTATGTTTCTTAAAACGATTTATAACACAGGACAGAACCCAACTCCAACGTTCTGGCCGCTTCCTGCTGGATTCCCACTTTAGTTCCCCTCGTGCATACTTACTAGGCCACTGCTCTGCTCTCTGGGCAGACACGATTTTACAGACGGACGTGAGATGAGGTGGTGGGGGCCGCCAGGGCAGTACCGTGGCGAGTAAAGGTGTGGGGCAAAGAACGGCTATGGAGAAAACATGCAACAAAAGAACGGGATGAACAATCACAGAAATCAAAGTGTGATGAGCGCTAGCAAATGAAACTGACCAACAAACACAGCTCCCGAGTTTCAGTGCGAGCGACAAAACAAAAGGAAAATGCCTTCCTCGAGTTCTGTAAGCCGTCAGACCCAAACCTGACATTTTATTTAAATTTTTGTACTGTTGATATACTAAGTTTTTTTTTTACACCTTAGAAGTTGACACAAGAGTTCCTCTTACTGGCTTGTTTTTCTGTGTCAGGTTCTAAGTGGTTTACAAACATTAACTCACAATCTCTGTTCTAAAAAGCAGGATGGAATCTGAATAGAAAACTATTCTTTACAAAAACAGCCTTCCGATTTTTAATAAAAAGTCCTGGTGACGTGAAAACAGCCAGCACGGACTGCAGAAACGCCCGCTGCCTTGAGCTGCTGGAGCGGACTCGGGTCTCACACGGGCGGGCGTGTTTTACACGAGGAATCCGCGCGTCAGGTGAGACTGTAACTACAGCGAGTGTGTCCAGCAAGCTCCTTGGTAACAGCACCGTCAGATTACACAGGCTAAAAACAAAGATTAAAATTCCCCAAGTTTCCTTACACTGAAGTAACCCCTTTATGACTCCTGCTATTTTAAGAAAATTATGCTGCTTCTACTTTTAGTTATCTGAGAACCTCAGCAAAAAAAAATAGAGCAAAAAAAAAATAACTAGCCCTAAAAACATGAGAAAAAATGTAAATGTTTTAACGAGAGTAAGTTACTACAGTCGCACGTGGCTGTTACTCGTGTACAACAGGCGGACGCAAAGTCTCGGCCTAGGCGGCTCCCGGCCTCAGAAGTCTGACCGTCCCCCGGAGACCGGCGCGGGCCCTCGAAGGGCAGTTGCCACAGGTCTCGGACTGGCACACGAAGCCTGCGCTTCACACCGCCTCCCACGCAGGCACAGTGCACGGGGACAGGACACGCTATGAAATGCTACTGTCCCGCCTTCCCTCCTCGTCAGAGCACAGAATGGAGCGACACTCGGAGGGCCTCTTGGGACGGTGCAGTTAATCACTTATGTGGCCCACACTTTTCAAATGGAAAATTCAATTTAAACTCTGGGATTCCTCCTTTGCCAGTTTGTTCTAAACTTCTCTTTCTTCCTAGCTCATATGAACTTTATATAGGCAGGCACTAGGTTTCTAGAATACTAGCCCCTATGTTTTCTCAAATCAGACTAAAGAGGGAGACAAAAAAAAAAAAAAGGAAAAAGAAAAAAATGCTGCAACGGACCAAAGAGCCAGTCCCAGTACATCCGACACGAGGGCTCACGCCCCGTCCTCCAGGGAGAAAGGCGGGGCCCACGGCCCACGCAGCGAGGGCGGCCTGGGCCCGCAGCACTGGCTGCACTGGCAGGGCCCAGCACCCGGGGCGGACTGCGCTCCCGTCCTCGCGAACAGAAAGCCGCCAGCTCACACTGAGTGAGCAGCCCCACGCTGAGTGGCTGAAGACGGCTCGAAGTGAGACTCTGCAATGGGCTGTAGTGCTATTATGTGGCAATAACATCTGAGTGCTACAAGCATATTTTCCGTTATCATCTCACATTTAAAAACTATAATATATATTAAATACAGGTTTACTGAACTACTGCAGAAATTTATGTTTATCATCATTTTCAGTGCCAATATAAATTATTATACAAAATATAGCAAATTGAACTTTTGTTTATCAACAAATGGACACACAGTTCCCTCTGAAGTGTAGGTCAGTCTCTGCTGACCCTGCAGAGTTCACTTTCTTATCACGATAGTCAAGAAATGCAAAAAGCATGCTAATATTCAGATTCTACTGCTATCTAGAACCCACTGAAGTGCTTTTAATTTTTAAAACATCATGCACAAGGGGGGACCCAAAAAACCCTGGAATTTATTTATAAAAACTTGTGTATTTATTCTTACATGTTTGTAAACTTCAGTCACCTTCAAAATACTCTCCATTTGATGCAATACACCTAGCAAGACCTTTTCCCCACTGCTTAAAACAGCTTCTGAACTTGTCGATTTTAATGCTGTTTAATGCTTCTGCCATTTTTTGTTTCACCTGTTTCAACATCAACAAAACGTTTCCCTTTGGGGGCTTTTTTCATCTAGGAAAACAAAAAGAAAAAAGCCGCTCAAGGTGAGACTGGGTGACTAGGCAAGGTGGGGGACGGGGGTCAGGATGATTTTGGTCAAAAACTGCCGAACACTCAGCGCGGTGTGGGCATGTGCGCTCGTAAGTCACCGCTGTGGAACAGGCAGATGCACTAGAAGAGTCTTCAGAAAAATGCACTGAAGGCGAACGCAGCCTCTCACCACAACGCCAGCTGCCCCACCAACACAGGTGGGCTCCCAGAACACCCACCCAGCGGGGGAAGCCTGTACTACGAGGGGTCCACCCTCCAGAAGGTAATTCCGGTGTTTTTGGGTTCCCCCCTCTGTACATTAAATTCACACTTGAACGTTTCCTTATTTTAAAGCTGAAGGACAGTCTCGAAATGACAGGAAGCCCCCCAAGCAGAAGCAGCACCGCGGGAGCCCCGACCGCCGTACCCTGTTGTAGAAGGGGTGCTGAGGCCCCGTCATGCCGCTGTAGTAGCTGCTGTGAGGCTGCGGCGACAGCACCCCGCCTGCGAACGGCCCATTGAAGGACGTGGAGGAGGAGCAGACGGACGGAGCCTGGCTGTAGCCCGACGGGGGCCTGGGGGGCGCCTCGTGCAAAGGCAGCGGGGGGTAGGCGAGCCCTCCGATGTTCATCTGGTCCCTCGCAGCACGGACATCTGGAAGACAAGAGGGCCCCCAGCAGGCAGGAGAGAGGGGGACGTCGGTCTTTCGTCCCGGCCCCTCGCCTCCTTCAGTCTCCAGACAGAAGCGGGAGGCCCCTCCTGCCAGGCCCCCCCACCTCACAGAGGCGGCCGGCACTCGGGCCACTCGGGCCCGGCCGGGGAAGGCTGGCTCGGCCGCAGGAAGCTGCGTGCACCGACATCGGACTCCGCTTCAGCATCCGAGCTGCACAGTGTTCTCCGGCTCTGCAGGGCGTTCGTTTGAGCTGCTCCAAGGGTTCTTACGACTCCTAACACGCCAGCATCTCCTGCGGACTCACGCCTGGCTAGTGCGCGCGAGCACGGTGCTGGCTGAGACCGGGAGCTAGGAGCTGGCAGGTCTGTGGCCCACCCACCTCCGGGCGGCGGCGGGGGCCTTCCAGCAGGGGTCTGGACACGGAACACAGGGTGTGCGCAGCACACACAGCGGAGCCTCCAGAACCACTTACACTACTCCCGAAGTGCCATGCCACCGCCCTCAAGGTCCAGTCCTCACAGTTAAGGTAAAATTTAAAAAGTGACAGAAAGATTTCCTTACCTCTCTGGGTAAAGATCCCTATTAGGAACAGAAAATTGGTGACAGAAAAATTCCAACAGACTGGTATCTTAAGGTGGAGACTAAAGGTTAAAAGGACTCTGACCCAAAGTACAGGTTCAGGTGTGTGGACCGGGAAACACAGTAATGGGAGCTGAACAGGTAACATTTTCTTAGTCCCCAGAAGGGCCTCAGACCCTCACCGTTCACCAGACCCTCACCGTTCACCCCCGCCCCGTGCAGGGCGCGGTTTGGAGCTTCCTGGTTTCCCCCGGCGCACGGGAACTCCCGCAGCCGATTACACACAGGCGGAGCGTTTCTGAGAACCTGAGAGAAGGGAAGTTAGACCCACCTGCGATGATTTCCCGTAGCTTGGGGTCGAGGTTCACAGTGCACGGCAGGAAGGTCTTCACGTCTCGAGCCACGAGGACTGGGGTTCTCGAGGACAAAAACACTTCAAAGCTCCGTGTGTCTCCGTCTATTTCCAGCAGGGGCTCGACATCTTTCGTCGTCGGGATGTTCTTTGATATTCTTCAAACGAGAAACAAATGGGAAGGTCATTCATGTCACCATTAGAAAGGCAAACTCTGCACATAACCAAGTTTGTTATTTATAAAAATAAAGATTACATACTTTGCTGTCCTTAAAACTTTTTTCAAAGAACGAAAAACCGAAGTAAGCGGCACAGTTACAAAACGACTAAGTGACAAGGGCGGGACTCGGGCGAGGGACGCGGGGCGGGGGGGGGGGACACACGCGTGCCAGGCCCGCACACGCCGGCGAGCCCGCAGTGAGGGCCGAGCGGGCCGTCCGTCCCCGCACGGGGCGCGTGGGTCTCAGGTGGCGGCACTGGCCGCCCCGGGCCACAGGACCGCCGGGACAGCTCCGCGCTCCGTGTCTGCGACGGCGTGCCACGGGTCTTGCCTCGCAAAGACGAAATGAAGAATGACTTTGAGACAAATTACACCAGCTAGAAACAAGGTATTAGCACAGGCTTTCCCTTCTTGAAAAAGGTTTGTTTTCTATTGCAAAAGTAATAGGTGCTTACTACATATGCATATTTATAAGGCAGAGAAATACAGAAAAATAGAAGGAAAAATCCATGATCTTGTCAGACATAATAATGCCCACTCACGTGTGCCCCTCAGAATTTAAGTACTACAATGGCAGTCGGTACGCAGAATTTCCATGCGGCGAGGGTCTGTATGTCGGCAGCCCGGCGCCCGGCAGAGGCCCAACGGAGAAACGCACAACGCACCGCCTCGGACGCGGGCCGCAGCTCGGCCGGTGCATCAGGCGGGGGCGGGGCAGGTGCGCAGGCAGAAGAGGCACAGGAGGGATAAACCACAACGGGAAAAATTCCAATGAAAGGTTAAAGAAATACTTAATAAACTACCTTCTTTCTGTCAAACTATACAAAACTGCCATTTTTACAGTCCAAATGGTCAAACACTGACAATCCCATATGGTTCAACCCACCGCACACAAGGCCATGGCCAGCCCGCGGCAGCGAGCACGGGCGCAGTGCAGAGGAATGGGGGCGGAGGACGTCAAAGGCAGCTTGAGTGACCCTACCACGAGTCATCGCTCCAGGACCTCTCCGCCATTCACTCTAGTAGCAGTCACAGCTCTATGACCTCCCTGCGATCTAGTAGTAGTCACAGCTCTATGACCTCTTGGGGGCTAGCACCGTTCTGCCAGCACCCCATGTGTGGCGACTAGACAAATATTACAAGCCATAGGGAAAATCCAGAGAACAAAACTGGCACACGAGGAAAGACCGGGGAACCAGTGAGGAACTAGGGACAGCAGTGCCGCCTTAACACATTTCGGGGTCCCTCCTACAGACCCGGCACGCGAGCAGGAAGCAGAAAAGCCCTCTGACCTCTGAGGCAGGGTGACTTCGTCCCAGAACAGCACTGGACCTGACTGTCACGTATATTTAAGGTGGGACGGGCGACCTGGACAGTGGCTGCTCAGGACCGTTGCAGGAGTGGCCCCAAGTCAGCGTGCGGACAGCTGAGGTGTCCCATCGGTTTCAGGAGGGTGACATGAAACACCCAGGGGAGAAGCCGGGAAGATGCAGGCAGAGGCACACGGCTGACAGGTCGCACGGGACGAGGGAGCTGCGCGGCCACGCCAGCTCTGCGGGCACGCGCGAGCCGTGCTCCGGACGAGAACAACGCCACTGTGCGCCAGCCGCTGGCCCGAGGCTGCCCCCAGTCGGAGTCCCCATGCCGACCTTCGACCTCAGCACGTCATACTCTTCTCCCGAAAGAGGCGCTGATGGAGGTGAGAAGCTTTTGGCAGTGGGCCACCAAAATCATAGGTGCCTCTGTTTTTTTCCAGGTATTTTTCCGAAGGTTAGTATTTAAAGAATTTAAGTAACTTCACTTTTCACTTAAGAGTGAGTTTACCTTCCCAGCACTATGAGTCGCGTGAATTAACGTTGCCACCAGTCAAATGGCCCACAGAAAGCACTGTGAAACCTTGGGCAGGAATGAGCTCCTAATCAGCCTAAAAGCCATCCGGCAGTGCTTGTTAATGCCAACATCAGTGTAAATTAAAACCATTTTGATTACACTTCTTAGTGGTTTACAGAAAGACCATTTTAATTCCTTGGCAGAAATTACATAAGCCATTCATATTACTTCCATTCAAAATGAGGTCTTAAATCACATGGCAAAAAATTCTACTTAAAATCAAAATATAAATAGGTTCTAAGAGCATAATTTACGGAGATGGCATTACTTATTGTACTTTATGTAAAAGTAGCTGCCTAAAATGCCATTATTTAATCACGAGGTTAAAAATTAAGATAAATTTTCCTTAAAATTTTAAAAACAGGAAAAACCAGTCACTGCCCCAGAATTCTACCACCATGAAACAAACCTGACTTCTAGGGGACTTCCCAACCCTTCCCCCGGCGAACGCCCACGTATTGATAGACACGCTCGCGCACGGAGCACTTCCGAGGGTCTGGGAGACGGACAGAGCGGGCAGGGGACAGCCACACAGACAAAATGCAGCCTTGTGATCTGCCCCCTGCCCCCTGCGGGAGGACAACCAGAAACTCTGGACGGGAGCTGACTACGCTTTCCCGCTCCGTCCCGAGTTAGTGCCTCCTCACCCTCTGCAGCTCTGCCCCCCCCCTTCACCCCCGCCCCTGCCCCCCCCACCGGAGCCCAGGTGGCTCCCCTCTACCACGGGCCCTCCCAGGACGGACACGCTCGCGCACCCACGCACCCACACGGCACCAGCAGCCCGCTGCAGCCACTTGCGGCACTGCTTCATTCCCGTGTGTCCCCCCAGACGGGAGACCCCACGAACCCCGTCCGAGCCGGCAGCAGTGCCGTGTTGTTGGCCGTGGATCTCCTGGGCCCGGGGCAGCCACCGCCTCGGGCCTTTCCCACAGTACATGCTCGCAGCGGAAACAAACTGCACAAGGAAACGCACTGCTCCCAAGGGACTTATCCTCTTACAGTAAGTCCCACTTCTGCCCTGGCTGGCTGCTGGGCTCAGTGGCTGCGGGCCGGCCTGCGACACGACGGGCTGCAGGTTCGATTCCCAGTGCGGGCTGGGTCCCCGGGGCAGGGCGCGCAAGAGGCAACCACACATGGGCGTTTCTCTCCCTTTCTCCCCACCGTCCCCCCTCTCTAAAAATAAACAAAATCTTAAAGAATAACAATGATTTCCACTTCATTTATACTTTCTGACGCAGAGAAGGAGACCTTGGGAAAGCGCAGGATGGTCCAAATTCTGAGTCGGTTTTTGTGACGCGGGGTCCGACTGCGCTCTGTTTGCCCGTGGCTCTCCAGTGGCCCCGGCGCCCTCTGCGGGGAAGAGACTGACCCTCCCCCGCTGAACGGAGGTGGTGCCCGTCGAAGCTCCACCTCCGCGGGCTCCCAGGCTCCTTCTGGGCCACCAGTTGGCACCGTCTGCCGGCCCCACGCTGCTCCGACGGCTGCTGCTCTGCAGGCAGTTGTGGAGTTGAGAGTCCCCCCACCTAGTCCTTTTTGCGATTGTTTCAGCTCCTTGGGTTCCCTTGTGGTTCACATGAACTTGAAGGTCGGGTTTCTGTTTCTGCCCCGAGAGGCCACTGGGCCTTGGAGAGGGGTCGCACTGCCTCGGCAGGTCGCCTTGGGTAGCACCAACAGCCTAACATTCCGTCTTCCATCCGTGACCTCAGGAAATCTCTCCACTCCCTCAGATCCTCGGCCGACCGGTGTTCGCGGCCGGCAGCGGACAGCGCGCGCACGTCTACCTCGCAGAGGGCTGTGCCGAGTGCAGAGCGGCCCTCACTGGGGCCGAGAGCACGGCGGGAGGGGAGCAACCAACGGGCTCCCGCCCGGGTGGCCGGGGCCGCTCTCAAGGCGGCAGTGTGTGTGGGCCCAGCGTCCGCCCCACAGCTGCTCTCAGAGCTGACAGAGGCCAGGTGGCACTTTCTGGGCATCCTGCTCAGGGACGACACTCGGGCACAGCACGGTAAGCGTGCTCACCGAGAATAGGACCACGCCAGACCTCCAGGCTCATCTGTTTCTGGTTTCCAGTGTCTGACGGAGGTATTTAAAGACAGTCCAATTAGGGTCCAACAACACAAACTGTGAAAGTACCTGTCTAGCTCTGGCTGGCGTGGCTCAGTGGATTGAGCGCGGGCTGCGAACCCAAGGGTCTCTGGTTCGATTCCCAGTCAGGGCACATGCCTGGGTTGTGGGTCAAGTCCCCAGTGGGGGCCACATGAGAGGCAACCACACACTGATGTTTCTCTTTCTCCCTCCCTTCCCCCCTCTGAAAAATAAATAAAGTAAAATATTTTAAAAAGAAAGTACTTGTCTAAGTTGCCACGGAAATCACTGACAGAGCTAACTTGCTACAAAACACTCACAAGAATATAAAGTACTGCACAGGGAATCCAGTCAATACAGTAATAATTATGACTGCTGCCAGGTGGGCACTAGACTTATTTGTAAATTACGTAAGTGTCTAAGCACTATGCTGTACACCTGAGACTAATATAAAACAATACTGAATGTCAACTGTAATTGAAAAGTAAAAAATACATATGTAATGAAACATTGTTACTTACTACATGTTAAGACATTGAAAAAGAGCCAACATACAGTAAGGCTGTGTTACCAGGTCACCTGGTTTTTGTATCAGATTTTTGCAGACTTAGAAATAAAGTTTCTCCTCCACCTTTATGTGCAAATGTAAATTCCTCCACTGTTTTCCTTTTAATCCAGGCCAACACTTTTCTGTTCACAAAATCGTGTAAGCAAGCACCCCGCCCCGAGTGCAGACTGTACTTCATGCCCGAGCGCAGACTGCAGAAACCCGTGAGAGGCCGAGTGATAACTGGTGACGCAGGTGCCTGGACCAAGTCGAGAGGCAGACCCAACACTTCGACTAGTTATAAGAAACGGGTGCATCTCTAAGATTATACTGGTGATTCACCTGTGAAGCAAAATCCCCAACTAATCTTTCAAGTTTCTGCATCGGGTTAACTGCAAACATCTTACCATGCAAAGCAA